CACGATGGTAGTCTTATTATATGATATGTTTTTGCCGTAAAAAAATACAAAAATCTTTAGAAGAAAAAAATCGGGTGGCTCGGCTGTTCCGGTCTTAGAAATATAAGGGGTTCGATATTATTAATAGCCTTTATTGGGCGGCTCACGTCCCCTGCGGGAGATAAAAATAAAGGGATAATATTACCGTATATTCCTGCAGTATCTCTCTGTGCGCATTATAATATTTTGTTTATTTTGTTTGTCGTCGTACGCGTGGCATAAATCGCGTGCACAACAAATACTCGTACGAAATGCGAATGAATTAATGCTCGTCAATCTAATGCATCTGGTTATTAACCGAAAATGTTGGATATTCATTAATTGCAGTTTAAAAGTATCTATACAAATGTATAATCAAGTATTCAAGTAGGTACAAAAAATTATCCAAAGTGGAATAAATAAAACACTATCTTTTGGCTTGCGTGCAATGCCTTTGTACCTATATAAATATACAATTATCAATTTTTTTTGGTTGGTTTCAACTTGGTCATATCATTTTTTTGTAGAGCTGTTGTGTGTATTATATTATGTACTACCTATGCGTTTGGTTATCAGTAGAGATCGGAATTATATGAACTAAAAATATAGGTATAAATATAGTAAAATATTTTATTATTATATTAACAAACTAAGCAATAAAAACAATTAAGAGTATACATTTACTAAATAACACACAATTATTTATACAACAATTCAATATATCGGAATACAATTATTAATTAAATACACACCATTCCAATTTGGTTAATGGATCAAAATCAAAATATAAAATTGTCTGATTTGTTTCACGACTTGGGTATCGAATTGTTATTTGCAAAATCCCTAGAACTAAATGGAACACGAAAACTGGATTTATTTCTGGTATTTAAAACTAAGACTTTAAAACCAACTTGTGATCAAAACACAAGATAATCTATTTATCTGCAGATTTATTAACTTGTACACGAGAACTACATCAGAATACTTTCGAATAATATTTTATATACGAGTACTTCCCGTTTTTAACGTATACATTCATGTAATTTCGCGGTCTATGTGATACAATATATATTATACTATAGGTAATTTACTATATAGTTATTAATATGGTTACACGTTCATTAAAAAAAAAAACTATTTACATAATATATAGCAGGCGTGTACAAAAAAAATTTTTTTTTTTTTTTTTTGGGGGGGGGGGGGGTGGTTGTAAATGTTCGTACTTAAATAATTTAATCTAACCTATAACCTAACAGGAAGTTTACACAACTTCAATTATAGTATTATTTATTACTTATAAAAAATGTCATTATTAATAAAATTTGAATTATTTTTAAAAACATGTATTTTTTATAATATAAAATCTAATTTTCGAGGTAGTCTTGCAAATCTGTTAATGACTTCGTCAATATCAATGTAATGTATCAATTGATAATTGTAGATACTGATCGAGCACTAAACGAGAGTGTAATTCATATTAGTGATATTACGATGGCAATGCGGGAAATTAATTAAAACCAAAATAAAAAATAATAACACTTACTTCCTGAAATTTCAGGGGGGGGTTGAACCCCTAGAACCCCCGTTGTATACGCGCCTGCTGTATAGGTACCAAACAATTCGAAATTCGAAATTTTTACATTTGGGTGTCTGCAGGGTAACACATTCAAGTCATTAGTCCAATGCAATTTCCAATAAACTTCAAAACGATTGCTATAAAAAGTCAGTTGGAACAAAAAACAAAAAAAAACTATTCTTCTGGTCGGGAAGCGTCGTCGAAAGTCGATACTCACTGTGCCCACGCATGGTGTATTGGTGCAGTAAAAAAAAAGTCTATACAACTAAGCGCGGTAAATCACGTCAACGAGGACACGAATAAAATATCGTTACCGACGTAAATCGTTTTGTACAGCGTGTGTGTGTTTGTGTGTGTGTGTGTTTGTGTGTGTGTGTGTTTGTGTGTGTGTGTGTGTATGTGTGTGTGTGTGTGTGTGAGTTCGCGTGGACAAGAGTGCTGTGCGGCGACACTGTCCCGCGGGAACTGCGCTCCGATTGGTGTTATTTTCATTTCCCGTGCATTAAGCAATCCGGAAACTGTATCGCCCGGACACACGTTATACTTCGATCGCATGTATTATGAATACGACCGAATATATTTTGCTTTGTGCGTACGGACGACTCTTAAATCGATGTCAGAATAACGGTGTACTTACAGGGAACGAAAGTTCAGAAGATATTATAATTTAAGACAGTTAATGTCAAAATGCCTACTCTTAAAATGTTCAGTTAATATATACAGCTATAAGAAGAATTTAATTCATAAATTATCATTTTTATCACTAGGCACATGATAAAAATAATAATAATAATATAATTCTATCGAAATTGTAAAAATTTGTTTTAGGATAGAGTCAATTGCAATAACAAATGTGTCAAGTATAAAGATTAAAGAGCCCCTATGGAAAATAAACACAGTATTACACACATATTTGACTATATCATATCGTATATAATGATATAAGCATACTTTGTTTTCTTTACTTATTGTTGAGATCTACAATATTTATTGTTTTTCGGCAACCTATGCCACTAAATACTGCAATCACGTTATTCGGTAGATTATTTTTTGCCCATTTTCCATACTAACTAATAAAGTAACTATGAGAGAAGTAGAACCAGCATTTGTACATGATTTTGAATCGACTTTGACGTATCTTCAAAACTAGCAATCGCAGTTCAAATTTATTACAAATATTTGTGTAGGCTCATCAACTCATACCTAGTATTTTACATAACATGTCCATTCAGTGAAATGGTGAGTATTACAAAACAAAAATGTGATATGCGTGAGTCAATATTATAATTTAGCACTTCTTCTTCGATCGAAAAGCAGTTGTAAAAATATTGGTATTTACGTACTAGCTGCATTTACCAAAATATGTTTTATGAAATATCTACCGATTTTGTTCGAAAAATAAATTATAATGTTATGATTATACGGATTCTTGTATCTAAAATGCATATATTTTCATAGGTAATCTATTAATAAATATTTTTAAATTTTTAAGAATTAAATTCCCAAATAGGTAGGTACTAAAAATAAAATTTAAATTTAAATTTAAAGATTTGTACATTTTAAAAACTATTAAATATTTTGTTGCAACGGGGTTTTCGTTGGACCCTTATCAAGGAAATATTTTATATTATTGACATTATACCCACATTTCTAATGTTTTTAATTTAAACATTTTATTTTTAGTGCACATTGTTAATTGTTCGTATGAAATTCATCATTTTAAACTTTTATTTCAAAACATCATATCATTACTTGTCTATCTAGGTACGTGATTATAATTCGGTTTATTTATATTTTATATCAACATATTATAATTGAAATGGTATTTAGAGCATTTAATTCTCTGCTCAAAATCAATATAATATAATAATATAATATGATTAGTAACATTTTGAATCCACCTGAGAAGATGATGGTTTGAAAACTCAGAAAACGTATTATCGGAGCCGACCGTGCAAGCCTAAAATGCGTTTCAGATTTTGATGGCCAAACTCTGTGAACGGCTTTTGAGTGCAGCCGAGTGGAATCGAAATCGGCCTTTTATACGATTATACTTTTACGCGGTAGCTTACCTTTATACAGAAGCGCGCCTATATGGAGATATAATCACACCGAATTTAAATTGTATCGCGAAATCGATTTCACTACGAGAATAATTGGCCTAGCAATATTTTCGATTTCCTGCGCAAGCTCTTAAGTCTTCTTTCACCTTACGATCATCGATGGTATATTATGATATTCAAATTATAACAATATAATACAATATACCTATTTAAGCTGTCACGTCGTGTGGGCGGAGTGCTCTCCTTCGAATTGGGCACTTCATAAAATGTATGATAAAAATATATGTCTCTATATAAATCACTGATTTATTTGCATTATTTTTTTGTATGTCATAATAATAAAAATTATAGATAGTAATTTATTGATATTTGTAAGTAATTGTATTTACCTACTTGAGGAACTGAACTTCAGAATCGTATTCCTTTCATTATTCGTATCTGGGCCTTAACTTCCAGCAATAATAATATGACTAAGTTTAAATTCCCTCTGGGTTCATAAAATTGTGTGCATTCGTTAAATATAATTTTGTTTATTATTACAACTTTACTATTATTATAGTTTATCATTACCGGCCATATTAATCTTTTTATTGAGAACCGTCAGTCCATAAACTGATATTATGTGTGTAAACAATTTTTATCTTTAAATGTGGCTATTTATAACAACGAATTACGATTACTAAATGTGGTAAATAATAGGTGACTTTTTATATCTAGTGTCGATTGAGGATACCTTAAAATCGATATCACTCAAAAGCTCAGAGCAGTTCATAGATACATTCAATGGTTTATATAAAAAAATCGATATAATTGCACCTTATTATAATTTACTAGAAGAGGGTATTCTCTAACTGCAGGATTCTCGAAATCACAAATGGGTGGACCTTTTATTTAAAAGCAATTATTCTTACTTATACTTAGGTCGGTACTAATTTATTTTAATATATTTCAGTAAACTTTTAATAATAATAAAAAGCCCATGTGTACTGGAGTACCAGCTCTCTACTCTGGGTACTATATTATATAGGTTTGTTGTGCATAAAAACTATTAAATCAGTATTCGGTGGGTGTGAGGTGGACATATGACAAACGAACACTGATGATGAGATGCAAGACTTATTCGTGATACCTCGTTTCGGTGGCGTTCAAAAGGCGAATTCCTGCATGTCGGAATAATCGGCCCAAGCCATCGAGCTGGCCACTGACCACCAGCCACGGGATCCACAGGGGTGCTTTATGCCTTTGATGATATGCGCGTTCTACCCCCCCCCCCCCCCAAGCACCAAATCATCGACCAGACCGCCCGCTGTCGTTTTCTGCAACCGCTGCACACGCGTCCGACCGCATAATTAAACCACTGCTGCACCATAACGATATCGAGTTGCCATGGAATATGACCAGATGACGAGCTCACATCATAGTTCGCCTTCGCCACTGTATCGATGGTTACATGGAAAAAGGATTGAAGCGACAAACTATTGCATGATAGAGAAAAGTATGTTTTCCAATGCACACATGCAAAAACAACTATGGCCAAGACAAATTTGCATTTTAAGCTTACGGTATGTACAACACTTTGGTTATTATGTTTTTACTCGAGAAAAGGGAACGACAATATTAGTATAAGGAATAAACTATATAATATATTATTATCACGAATGTTTAGAGGACAATAGTGATGTTTATCGAAATTGATTTATCAAAGTTTTGCACATGAAATATTTGTCTACACGTTATTTTGATTCAAATAAGATACTTTAATATATAGGTCATAGATGATGATATAATACCAAAATATAATAAAGAATAAGCACATTAAATTAATAATTATGTAAAAAAAATCACAGCAAAATGTTTGTTGACTCTCCTGAAACCCTGAAACAGCTAGTAGTCAACTGTCCTTTTTCCGCTATGTAACCCTTGTCAATAATATCCTCATCGGCTAGCCCCGCAACACCATTCTCCGGAATCACCCTCGTCTACATCCAACTCTCTCTAGTGTTTCTCTCTGAACACCGTTGGAGACGTCTTCGCGGATAGTGCTCGGGATTCTTACCGATTTTTTCCTCGTTTAATTCTCTTAAAATTGTCGTTTATATTTCCACGAAGTCCCTCATCGTCATCGGCGGACATAAATCGTAGTCGTATCGTCGTAATAATAATTATTATACGATATTACTCGCCAGCCAGCGAATAACAAGCGTAATCGAATTACGAGCGCTACGGACAATGATTGATAAGCGCCGACGACGACTTTTCCGCGACCGATTTTTATGAATATTAAACGCATTAATCACCGCCGCCGTCGCCGCCTCGAGTGTACTCACAGCAGCTATTATAATTTAGGACGGCAGTGGTGCGGGGCCCGACCGAGTGGCGACGCAATTAGCCTGATGAAAATCGGTCGTGTACGCGCCACTGCTATATCAAATATTATGTATATATTATTATTATCATATACATATACCAACCGATGTCATAATGAAGAACGATGCCGTACTCGAAGCAGCGTTGTACGTAATATACTTATATTTTAGATATTATATATATTGTAGATACATATATCTTGCCTCCGTGTATATATTCGCATAATATTATATATACATTATTTACGACAATTATTATAACGAGCTCGTTCTGTCAACTACCGCAGCTCCGCGTCATCTATCTGCGTCTACGTCGACACTACGTGGAAGTGGACGAACACCGTTTAGTCATACAATATAATATATTATAACTATTTATTATTTCATAGGACCAACGCAAATTGTGCCCCCCGAAGAAGGGATGACTTATTGACTATTGTAGATTGCGACCAATATGTTATTATTTCAGTTAAACTTTCATTATTCTTATGGAGTAAATATTGAGCCCAATGCAATGCGCGTACTTGTACATTTCTATGTGTAGTAAATTGTCTAAAATATTGTGTAAATTATTTTTTTTGACGATAGCCGTTTATCATTATTTAGAGAACACCGCTAGAACACCTACCATTATCTATGTCTTAATAATGTTATTATTTTGTTTATAATTTACAATAGCTTTTATGTATAGGTATACCTATACTGTTTAAAAAATGTCATATGAGTAATATAGTTTTAGTTTTATACTTTGTTATTACAGTTGACGTCTTAATTTGTCAGTTTTTAATATTATTTATTTTTGGGTTTTGAATGCACAATTTAAAGCTGTCTATTTGTTCGAGTATATAATAAACATTAGTTTGATAAATTGAGTTAAAAATGTTTAAATATATATCGACAGTTAAGATGTGGTTTGTAGAACGGTTCTTTGAAATGTGTATAGAGTGATTTGTTGTTCCCCAAAAACTATCGCTGAAATTGGACCACACTGTGGGGTTAGGAAAGTACTATTTCTGGTACAGAATACCATGAAACAAAAACCAAAATCTCAGACTACAATTTTGGGAGCAAAATTATTTAGTGGAAACGATTATAATGCACGCCCGACAGAACGTTGTTGCGGAGATCGGATGGAGCTTATAATTCTATAATTCGATTTCACTTGGTTGCAAGCAAAATGAACGAACCGCAGATCAAATATATTATTATGTCGTTTTGAAAAAGGCTTTAATAATTGTTGAAATATAACTAATAGTCCAAATAACTCAGTGGCTTGCAAAAAGTTTTTGCCCTCAGCGACGTCTCGCTGTACAGCGACTGGATCATACACTTGCCGGGCACATGATCGACCAAGCAGTCGCCGATCTGTTCGCATCTCACTACGCCTTTTTCCAGTCGATACCAATGTTCATTATCGCACACGACTTGCACGGTGCGGATGACTTTACCTGCGAAAATATAGGAATTTGTCGATATAATTTGTATTAAATTGGTATACTGATCAGCTTAACGACATATAAATGACGGCAGTACCGATTCTTATTAAAAAACACAGTTCTCCAGCAACTCTGCCGTTTTCGCCGAATTGATATATGTTCAAATCGGTCCAGTCTATGTTGCTGTTAGTACCATCGTCGTTGCTGATAAATCCGAAAAACAGCCTTGAAAATCAGAACAAAACAAAATGGTGTTCAGATCAATAACTCGAGCATTGATTTCGTGAACGTTAATTCTATACCTAATATAGTGTAATTAATTTAGATTTTAGAGTAAGGATTGTATTGTAGATTTCAACAAATAATAATCAGGAAAAAATACGAATGTCTGTTAAAAAATTTAAATACTATGATAACAAAAATAATTATTTGGTAACCTTGATGAAAAAAAAGTTTGAACGCCTTCGCTCAAAATCTATTTCGTCGTATACAATGATTTATCGTGGAATTCAAATTAAAGTATTTAACACATCCATTACAAACGGGGCTTATTCAATGATGATGTACCTATCGGGATAGTACCTATCTATTATCTATAACTAACGGCTTTTATAAATTAATTTTAAATGAATTGTTTTTTCACACTTAAATTAAATTGTATTAAATATGATTAAATTTTTTATTTTTATTTATGTATAAATATAATTTTTAATAGGTCTTACATTACTCATACACCAATATAAAATCAAATACAATGTTTAGTATTCAATTATATTAAATATTATTGCCCTTAATTACATATTAGTACTTAATTTTAACCTATTTAATAATTTAATTTCAAATTTGAAATCGTTGTACTTATATTATGATTTGCTGTTGGGTAATAATGATACAAATATGAGTAGGTAATGTAACACATGTAATTAAACAAGTTTTTGGATATTTTAATTTTTAGACCATTTTTTATTTTTCAACATTCAGAGGGAATATTTTTTTATGTATTTTGTGTGATAGAATTCTAGCCCTATAGTAATTAATAATTATACGATACGTGACTCACCGTGAAAACGTCTTTTTGTGACAAACCACCGTGATCACCATGGACCGACCGTCTTCCAAGAACATGGTTATGTAGAAATATCTGTGTAACGCTGTAAAATCTCTAATTTTACCTGTAAAAAACACCGTTCGAATGAGCTGCTCATCATATTATTACGATTGTATAATATATTATCGGTGGTGGTTCCAAAAAGCCCAAATTTTACGATTTTTTAAACTCCAAAAGAACAAAATCCAATTTTATTATCTGATGTGATTAAAACCTAAAATAATAAAATAGTATATTATAACATAACATATTTTCTATAATTTTCGACTCTCATACATTTTTAAATGTAGTTTATATTTTCTGTAGTTTAGTTATAATAAAAGTTCAGTTAACTATGATTTTGATTTTAATAAATTTTATTTCTATTTTGGTTAAATATTTGATTTGCACTTATGCTGCAGGGTTATTGAAAAAGTAATCGTGTATAGCACTTTTAGGGGTTGTTTTCGTCTGAATTGTTGTGTTATATTCTGCGATTTTGTGTTAAAGTTTATTATAGGTATTAAATATACCAAAGCTTCTGTCCCTGACGGTCGCCGCGTTTTGAATTTCGATTCCGATCTTGTCGATCTCGATGTTTGCGTCCAATCGACCAAACTGCTCCCAATGCACCACGTCGTCTTTAGAACTGTAACGAAACGATAAACACACGCGATGGTATTATATTATATTATTATATTGCGAGTCACAGAATAATGTAAAAAGCTTTAAAACTCTGTCATTGTGCTGAATGCATATATACCGATCGAATAGGGTGGCGGAGAACATGGTCCAGTTTTCCAGCGCGAACGAGTCGGCGAACGATTCGCTGCTCAAGTCCCGGTTCAGTAGCCACACGTCATGTTGGCTCGTCCACTCGGCCGTTATCTTCACGTGAGCCGAGGTTTCCGGATCGTCTACGAACCTATATACATGGATATTTGTGTACATTCGGAGGTTGTTTTATATCTATATGATCGACCTCTCATTATATACTATTATGTACAAAGGTACTTACGTCATTTCACCTTCGAAATTGACTTTCCAACGTCGGAGAGGTTCGATCACCGTCAATGTGAATCTGTCCAAAGTGAAACCGTCGTCGCTGTTTCCCAACTCGTTTTCCATGGAATTCGGGTACATCGGAGTCGAAAGGTGTCCGATTCCCGGAATCTGCAGCAAAAGCCGTACAAACCATGTGTGTTATGGTATATATTACAGTTGTTAAATCGTAGAGCTCAATTCGTAAGCAATTATCATACCTAAGTTGGCTTTCGGAATTTGTAGGTTTCCCGTAACCAAGTTGTGACCGAAGTGAAAACCTAATAAAGCAGAGTGGCCAACTTCAAATCCAAAAAACAACTTCCGATATCTTTCATTTAAGGTCAGCGCAAGTGACGATTTGTTTTGGGTAATTTCGACAGAGGGTGGGGGGAAGTGGTGAAGATATCCTCCATCCACAGTTCATTTGTGTCTCATCTTCGAATAGATGGACTTACAAATATAAAATAATATGGACAGAATGCGAGAGTGGAGCTTTTTTCACACGACAAGACATAACCTAACTTCACCTTTAAATTCATCATTGTGTTATGTACTACAATAATTTACCTTTAAACATGCGTATCCTATGGACATTTTACAATCGTTTCGTCTGTCGAGAGCTAATATGA